CAGCTTGTCGGCTCCCCGTCAGTGCCATAGCAACCAGTGCAGGCATCAACCATCAACATGGTGAGTGTTTGTGTGTTTTCGGCTCATTTTTGGTCGCTTTTTGGTGTTTTTTAGCTAACTTATATGGTTTTAAGTGCGACCACCTAACCAGACATGCAGTGACTCTGTTTCTGAGTGCCATATTTGACCTTACATGCAACATTGCTGTCGCTGTGAGCTAATATGGGCTAACTTTAATTAGCCATTTAGCTAACCCTGAATGTCAATTACTGTAATCTAGCGTTAACTAGCTGGCTAACATAAACTCTGCCTTGAACGCGTGTGAATGTATGTGTCATTTTGTCGTTTTTCCCACTCTTGTACTGGGGGTGGGGGAGAACTAATTAATCGACACTCAATCAGAACTAAGATTGTAGCAGCCAAAAGCCTAACATGAAAATGATAAGAAAGACAGTGTATGTTCTAAGCCAATACTTTAGTAAAAATGTGTGTTTGATGTAACGGTTTTGCTAGCTTGTCAGTACAGTAACTATCTACTTTTTTGTCATCACAATATAGCCCAGCCTCTCCCTGTCTAATTTAATGTTATGTAATGTCTCCAGGCCAGCAAAGCAACGACTGTGAGAGAAGCACTGGCCAAATGGGTGAGTGACATACAGGCACAGCTGAAACACACAGAATACCATGCAATACTGTGTGTAGAAATTCATTGTGTAGTTGCATAATTGTAACATAGTTGTTGTAATTGGATCTTTTGATGATCTCTCTCTATCTGTGTGTGTGTATGTGTGTGTGTGTGTGTGTGTGTGTGTGTGTGTGTGTGTGTAGGAAGAAAAGTCAGAGACTAAAGCCAGTGAAGCTAAAGCAATAAAACTGTATGGTCAGGTTCCTCCTATAGAGAAGATGGATGCTTCTCTCTCCACTCTCATCAACTGCGAGTAAGTCCCGTGATACAGTTGCTTATTTCAGTAACTTATTATTCATATTTTGATATGATGCATATTATAATTATCATGATTATTTTTTTAAAACAACTTCTATACTGAAAAAATCATGGATGCCTTTCTTATGTTTCTAATGTGAAACCATGAGATTAGCCCATCTGAGCTCATTAAAGATGTTTTTCCAATGAATAATAAATGTTTCATAACAGACACATGAGTGTCTGACACTTAATCATTTGATCCACTATAAGATTATAAAGGTGTTACCTTCTGGTAAAGCTACAAATTTGGACCAATTCACCCTGAACCAAATCAACAATAAGAATGTTCCAACATGCAGAATGTATGGTAGTAGACTACCTGTTAAAGTTGACTATTTGACACTGTATTATATTTTGTTAATCTGGTGCAAAATGTTTGAAAAGATTTTGCTCAATTTTAAAAGCAATAATTGAGTGTAAATGAAATGAAAACATGTAAAAGAGAACAACCTAATAGTGAATTCATCTGTGTTAAAATACTGTATATGTGAGCACAGAGGAGGGGAGAGGGGGAGAAGAGAACAGATAAAGAGCTGAAACCAACTGACACTAGGCTGAATGCAAATAGGACATGATGATGTCAGTTGTTTACAGCAGTTCCACAAGCGTTTTCAACTGCGTCCTTATTTTTGTACACGACCATACACGGTCCAGCCATATATTAGACTTTGACCTAGTCTTGTTCTGTTAAAGAAATGTTAGTATATTGAGGGCTTCAATGTGCTAATTATTAAGATTAAAGAACTCAAAAAATATCTAAATTAATTCAGCTTTAATTTGATTAAAGTTCCTGTTTATGTGCACTATGGCAGTGAAAGCTTGGAGCTACTTTTTGCCCTGGAATGGAAGATTCTTGTTAGGCCGTGTACACTCCCCGTTGTACTATATCAGTGACATAGTTATGTTTAGGATTTGATCAGTATAGCCAGAGAAGAAGCACTGAGATTCTTAACTTGGCAAGAAACTCCTGTGCATATCATACAAATATGCACATAGTTCAACTTATAGTTCCAAACTATAATGTAATTTTCACAATTTGGTTCAAACTTGTTTTCCTACTACTGAGTGGAACCTGGGATTTGATCCAACAAACATCTAACATTAGATCTAAGATAGGTCACTGTAGTTTACCCTCAAACTGCACTTCCATGATGTTTTCTTTCCTTTAACACAAAAGTGTTTTTATTAGTTCCATTAAATACTTAATGCATGTACTGTATCTACATTTAGAGAATAATAACACTTGACAGCGTTGACAGCATAACTGACAGAATAAATCGACACATTTAATGAGATAAACTAACAAACCAAAATAACATACAAATCCAATGACAAATGTCAAATCAGATGATAAGTTAACGTTCAGGACACTTTCTCTAATGTGCATTACCACTTATCAGAACCTAATATTGAAGCCAACCCTTCAGTAGATCAATTATATAGATTGTGTAGATAAAAACTGTAAAACTGCAGATAACAGACTGACTTCTCAATGCAAGAACTGAATATTCAGTTGCACATAAGTCAAGAGCAAATAACTATGCAGCATGTTTTAAACCAGACTAGCATATCATCATGAAGTATTTGATAAGTTATTGTACTGTGTCCTTCACAGAAAGCTGTCTCTGTCTACAAACTGCATTGAGAAAATAACCAATCTCAATGGCCTGAGTGAGTACTGACTTCATAAACACATATAGCAGCATACAGTACACACAATCAATGTTCATGGATGGAAATGTGGTGTTGTAATGTGGTGTTGTATTGTGTCTGTCCAGAGAACCTGAAAATACTGTCATTAGGAAGAAATAATATTAAGGCGCTCACTGGTCTGGTAAGTTACATATGAGGCAGAAATTACTAACTAGTTTGAAAAAAAACCTAGTATAGTAAAACTAGTGTTTTATTATTTTCCTCTTTTCCTTATGTTGTGTGTGTGTGCAGGATGCAGTAGGGGAGACATTAGAAGAGTTATGGATTTCCTATAACTTGATAGAGAAACTGAAGGGAATCCAATGCATGAAGAAACTGAAAGTCCTCTACATGTCCAATAACCTGGTGAAAGAATGGGGTAAGCTACATTCATAAATATAATCAACACATGAAACAGACAAAGCTTATTATAATACAGATGACTATGTTGTCTTTATTCGTACTTTCAAGGAATCCTTATGAGGTTAAGTGACCTGTTGCAGAAAATTCAAACTCCACTTGCCTAACAACTTTTGTTTTATTAAAGAGGATACAAATGTCAGTAGTAATTTGTTAAATTCAGACATTTAACCCATTGTCTGACACTGAATGCTTTAACTGCAGTTTCTGCTGGAAGCACAGTACCCTCATATTTTTTGGGGATGAAAATTCTTATCAAAACCTAATGTGTCACACAATGTAAAATGCTTAAATGAGTCCAGTAAAGCTTTCATTAATCTTATTTTTAAAGTTAATGTGCTGAAAATTTTGCTGGTGTTGAAATCCTCATGTGTCACTCTTTAATTTGATATACAGGTATGATGTTGTCTTCTCTGTTCTGTGTAGGAGAGTTTGTGAGGATAGCTGACCTACCATGCCTTGTAGACCTGGTGTTTGTTGGAAATCCTCTGGAGGAGAAGCATTCGGCTGAGGGAACCTGGATGGATGAAGCCTCTAAAAGACTTCCTAATCTGAAGAAACTAGATGGTAAGAGTGTTTCATCAGCAACGTCCACTCATATTCTATAATCTTACATCTACTGTCATAGCTTGGCAGTACAGACAATGGTGAATAAATAACATAAAAAGTTGCAGTAACACTTTACCGCCCATAATTTCTGAATGATTTGCAATAATTTCATTAATTAAAATTCATTGTCAACATAACATAGGGAGTCTTTTTGTCAGTGCACAGAAGGTTAGCTGAATATGAATAATGTACAATTTAGCAATGAATAAAATACATTTTCCAATAATAAATTAATAATAAAGGCATATTTACTTGGTATAAAATGGAAAATTCTAAAGAAATTATTGACCCATAAATATTATTGAAATTGCTTGGGGTCTGTAAAATGAAACTTTTACAACTTTTACATTATCAGTTACAAGGTACATGTAGGTAAAAAATTCTTTGCTTTGAAGATTGATCATCTCTTGTTCTGCTCTTACTAGGAACCCCAGTCATCAAACAGGAAGAGGATGAAGGAGATGGAGAGAGTTGAGAAGCATGACGATCTGCAAAATCCAACCCTCCTCCCTAAGAATCTTCCCTTTTTTAAGTTTTGTATGGTTTGTCATGTCGCTTTTCTTTATATAAAATGTGATTTTCACAACAGCGTAGACTATGTTGTAGACCTGTAAACTGACAATACTGCAGGCCTTATGGGTTCTGGACCAGAAAAAGGTTTTGACAAATCCCTATAAGTAGAAGTACATGATAAGCACAATTCCTAATGCCATTTACAGCATTAGGATTTTTTACTGTCAAAAAGTATGAAAGATATTGAAGTGAATACTAATGTGTTTTTATAGTGTCCTTGATTTTATATGACTCTTAAGTTTTTCAAGCACAGTGTAGCACAGACTAGTGAGCAGAGACATTTGTGTGGACCACATGTTGATCGGGTAATACCATTAACTCAATGCTGCTTGACCTCCTGTAGCCTATTAGGAGTCGGCTGCTACATTTACATCACATTGGACTAAGAAGTGGAGCACCTGGTTAGATAGAGTGACTTTGAGTGATACATTTTAGTGTCAACCACAAATGAAATATCCAGCAAATAGTTGTATCTTACCATGTTACTAAAACGGCACACTGTTTTTCATGGTTGTTATTAGAATTCAGGACTTGCTGAAATCAGGGTTTACCACCAAACTGACTTCTCAGGTAGTAAGCAGTAGTACTGTTCAAACAGGAGGTTAAGTTAGTGTGTACTTTCCTTCTCATGGGACTTTAAGGTACCATCTCCACCTACATTGAAACAGCCTTTGGACAGGACTGTGGAGCCATCAGAGCTGAGTGTAAAAACATACATGACCAAAATAAATCCTCAGCTCTGTTTGGCACTGTGTTGTTTCAGATAGTCCAGGCTGACATAATTATAATAACATTTGTGTGAGTAAAATGATTTTCATATTTTAAATTATTTTAGGAACGTCTGTACTTACAGTTGTGAGATATTTATGATTTTAAATGATTTTGTTATTTCAAATAAATAAAACTGATGTGACATGTTCTCCTCTTTTTTTAGCCTTGTTACCTGAAGCATAATCAACCTTTGCCTTAAACTAAAAGTTCAACATTTAGAATTTTGATTATCGTAGCCTACATGTAAGTGCAAAATGCATTTTAAATACTTAAAAATTTGAAGTGCTTTTAAGAATTGAATTGCATTGATCGGATATATCAGGTAGAGTCGACCGATGGCCTGCATAGGTCTGGAACAACTGTAGTACTCTAGGAGGTGTATGAAAGGAGGGAAAGTGAGTGGTTGGTTTGAAAGGTGAAATAGATGTTAATTTTAGGAGATGGAAATTTGTTGACTGGGTGTAATAGTGAAAAATAGAAAAGTTAAAGAAGCTGACTGATGTAGGGAAAGAAGGTGGTTAGAGTAACAACAGTCTAGCAAAAGTGTTACAGCTTTTGAGGTTGATTATTGGGGATGAGAAGCAATGACGTGAAGTAGAGATCCTAAGAAAGATGTGGATAGATAAGGAAAAAATGATTACTTTTATAGGAGTGATTAATGCAACATCTGATTTTAAATCTAAAACAAAGAATTCAAATTGTTGTTAAAGTGGTTCTTCATCTGGATATGGTAGGCATAATTAATAAAACTAAAAAACATCTCAATCAGTGGCTCCAAAGGGACGTAAGTCTGAAGGATATATTTTGTTGTCAAAGGCAGGGGGGATATCTGGACTAACATAACCTGCCCTATCTTTATACTTAGATAACCAGACACTCATCCACTAACCACCTTTTATCTAACTTAATTTGCAAGAATCGAACACACTACCTAAGGAAATCAGTAGAAGTAAATTCTTATGAAAAAAGAGGCTTAAATTTCCTAGATTTAAACCTTGAATGACACTTTAAAAATAAATTGGATCAGGTCATATTTAGAAAAAAAAAAAAAAAAAAAAAAAACGAAAAAAAACCTCTCTTTGGATTATTCTTATTTTCAAAATTTGTTGGTTTAAATTTAATTTTCTTTGTAATTATAATGTTGATAAAATACCAGTGAAATTTTCGGTATTTCCTAAACAGATACTTCTCTTGTGGGTATTAATCTAGAGAAACAATTTACTATGTTCAAGCCTGTTCATATGTACAATGTTCTTACTGTTTCATGTCTTTTTCAATAAAGCAATGGAAAAAAAAACTGGCAACGGTTGCGTACCCGGAAGTTACAACCTCTATAACTTCATTTAGCCACATGTTAGCAACCGTCTATTTTAAGACGTGTAACAGGTTAAAAAAATCAGGACTGGGGTATTTACTGACGTATTTTATGTAGGAGACTTAAACGTGAAAATGTCTTGGGCTTGTGTTATTCACAGACTATATTTTAGTCATCTAACCAAAAAACACATTCAGGAAACCCATCGACTTTTGGTGCAAAGATGCTAACTTATAACTGTGCAACACACAGTTCAACTTCATAGCGGTTGAAAGGGAGTGAAAATGTCTACCGGACTAAGTACATAGTGGTGGATGAACAGTTTGGTTTCGAGTGTGTAGTGTTCAGTGGTTGTAATGCAGCGGAGTAAAGCGTCTGTGAGTGTGGAGGTGAAGCAGGTGATAGGAGCTCTGTGCAGACTGCTAACGGCCACCGGTCTGGAGGCTGTCCCCGCACCGGAGACCTTCAGACGGGCTAAATTCGGTGGAAACGAGGTGGTACGTTCATCATCTGTTATCGGGACTGGAATAACCAGGGGTGGAATTAAGGACAATTACTTGAGTACTGTGCTTAAGTATATTTTTTCGAGTATCTGTACTTGAGTATTTTTTCAGAAACTTATGACTTTTACTCTACTACAGTTGAAAAGCAGCTTTCAGTCTGTGGAAATAAAGCAGTGTATGTTACTCTCCTGTGCTTTCAGAATGCTTCCTAATAGACTCATTATACTGAAAAACTATGTGAACCCTTTGGAATGATCTGGTTTTCTGCATTGATTGGTCATGAAGTGTGATCTGAGTCACCTTAGCAGGACGGCCACTTCTAGTGTAGCCACAGAACTAAATCATCTCCATTTACAGACAGTTTGTAAACTGTCTAAACTCTTTGAGATAACTTTGCAATCCTTTCACCTTTATGCAAATCAACTATTCTTGACCTCAAGTCTTCTAAGATCTTTTTTGTGAGGCAGGTGAGGCGCTTAGCCACACCTCCAGTGTTCAGTGACTGGACTCCGGGTTTGTTAACTGCTGACTCCATAGTCGAGAGGTACACATACTTTTTCTATATTGTGAATATCTGAATGATGTTTTCAATATGGACAAGAACAATACAGGGATTCGTTTGATTTTCTGTGTTATTTGTTAAAATAGATTGTGTTTGTTCATAACTTAAACTTCATGAAGATCTGGCGATATTTCAGGACAAATTTAAATGGATGAAATTCCACAGGGTTCACTTATTTTTTTCTTGCCACTGTATATAGTAATCTTTGTGTTTGCTGTTGTTTTCCAGGAAGGTCAGTTTTGGCAGCTCCTTGCCAACATCCTTCAGAGGACTGACATTGTTTCCTCTGAAGCCAGCACACAGCTAAGAGGAGGTCAGTTGAATTTTTGTTCCTGTTACTGTAGCACATTGATTCTCTCAGCTCAGCTGAGCGTTTGAAGAAGGTAAACTCAAATGCTGGATAGTTTGGATTTTCTGGTACATTTTTATTTCAAAACCTTCTCTGTCAAGCATAACACATCCACCCTGTCACTCGACGAGGAAAACATTTTTTAAATAAACGGTTCTCTATACGGTCGATGTCAGACTACCAACATCTCAGACCAAAGCTAGCGTTTCGTCGGCCCGACTCCCCTCTCCCTGAGTGTTCTCAGAAAGGTCTTACAAAGCCCAGTGAAAGTGGCCTTTAAACACATGAGAAGCACAACTGAATAAAGTTTCCTTGTGTACATGAGAGCAATCAGAAAAACACAATCCAGCCACAACCATTAGCCCATTCTGCCACTGCTGTGATGCCTTCAACACTGGCATCAAGCTAACTAGCGAGCTTATATATACAATCTTTACATTTTCAAAATGTGTATGTATAAAACAGACCTACCAAGGGATCTGTGCGGTGATAAAAATCTGTTCAGCATTTTTTCTCATGTTGTGACTTCTTTGCTAACTTAATGAACCATCATGTCCCCATGATTTAGATGCAGTGCTGCTCCTGGCACTTAACTCATGAATTTCCCCTGGGGGATAAATAAAGTATCTGTCTAACTGTCTAACTGTCTGCCTGTCTACCTATCTACCTATCTACCTATCTACCTGTCTACCTGTCTACCTGTCTACCTGCCTCATGAGGGGTGAAAAAGTGTTGACTTGCTGAGTGACAGAATGTGTTGTCCTCTCTCTATGTACAGACTTGGAGCTCAGGAAGCTGGTGGCTGCTGGCCTATGGCAGACTGGTTGCCATGCTGACTGGATGTATGGGAGCGAGGGAGGAGGAGGAGAGGAGGGAAGGAGTTTCTCCAGCAGAGATCTCCTCCTAGCTCTAGGCTGGTTGCTCGCTACAGGAGCAATAGAGAAACTGCTGACACAGCGAGTGCAACAACTAGACAAAACACTACTTGCATCTATACCTGTAAGTATCACACATATACCATTAACACCATCATAGAGTAATGGACCTAATTTAGTATTTCTATATTTGTATTTTTATACTTTTATATCCCTAACCTCGGTCCCTGTGTGTTAGGTGAACACTCAGGTCTCTCATGAGCTCCAGTTAGACTCGGCCTCCCTGCGGAGACTTCAGTGGCTCGTCGGCTGTCTGAGACACCAAGGGCGGATCCTGCTGTGCATGCTAGAGGAGCGAACTCGGTTGCTTCATGCTGTGAGAAAATCCCTTATTTTTGATGTCCACACGCTGCTGTTTATGGAGTACCAGGGATGTCACAGGAAAAGTAATAAAGCATTTCCTTAAGTTCCTATTTTAATAGACAATAAAAATAGGAATTGTAAAAAGAATTTATAAATGAATGATTAATCCATCAATAAATATTTGGTATTGGTGAAACCCAGTCTATGGATATGATATGATTGGTTAGCTCTCCAACCAGTCGGAGAGCTTGTTACATCCCATGCCCAATTGGGATTGTTTAGCCTGGTTTTACCACTGTAGGTCCAGGAAGGAAGTAATGGGAAAAGCAGCTGGAAGAAGGAAATGGGAATTGAAAAGGGAAACCAGGAATGTATTCCCATTTTAAAATACCTTTTCAATTACTTTTTCAAATTGGATTATTTATTCGTGAACATGTATTTATAAATAGTTTATTTAATGAGGGTTTTATGCTGTTTTTGTAAATTCATTTTAAAATCTTAAGTATTTATTGATGGATTAACAGTTCATTTATACATTTTTTTTTTTTACAATTCCTATTTTAATGCCTATTAAAATATAAAATAGTATATAATATATAAATGCTTTATTACTTTTCCTGTGACATCCCTGGTCCTCCACAGCTGTTCTGTATTTACATGTGAAACACTGTTCAAAGTTCAACAAACTAGAGGTTTTGGAGACATACTTGAGACATTAGTGTCCATAACACACAATAGCCAGTTGACCTTTTGACCTCAGCAATTTAAACTCCCCATAAGACCGAACTGGCACATTAACACTCAACTGAATGATTGATAGGGACAAAGATCTTTGCAATACTGAACTGTGAAAACTTTAAGTCACACAATAACACAAACAAGCTGACCAATCGAGGCAGTGGTACACCAGCAACTCCTATGTTCTCCAAGCTAAAATGACTGGCTTTGTTAAAGGAGTCTGGTGGCGGAGGGATATAACAGCGGTTTCTGGTTGAACAAAAAGGATCTTACTCTTTTAGAAAAAGGTCTATCTCTGCAGGAATCCACAGTCCACAATGTTGTCAGACATACAATAACAATCTGAAACTGTCAGCGGAAGAAAACAAGAACTTTTAGTGCATGGTACTTTGACATGGATAAACGCTCCGTTTGATTACACTACAGGTATAACGTTTCACAGTTGCCAGGTGTGCTGTTCAGGTGTACTGTTCTTGCTTAAGAGTGGATCAATTGTAAAGATTTTTTATTCATTTACACCCAAAAACATGGTTATGTAAATATGGTTCAAAAGTCCTGGAGTTGTTCTTTAAATCTCTTTGATTACTGCCACGACCCATGTTTCTGTCCCAACTACTTTTATGTATGAAATCATAGAAGTATAATAAGTGACTATCTGTTGAACAAATGGTGATGTTTCACTCTAACTAAGCAATAAACCTCTCCTCAGGTTCTTTCTGCCAGTCTCCCCTCCACTGTATCTGCCTCCTCTGATCAAAGCTCTACAGTGATGAACGGTGTAAGTGTGTGTGTTGTTATAAAAATGAATTACTATAATAATAAAGTTATAGTCAGATAACTACACAGTTTTCTGTTGTTTACGCCTTTACGCAATACGTGTGTCTTTTAAAATATATTGTAAAGTGTGTATGTGTCTCTATGTTAAATAGGACTGTGTGCGTATGCAGCAGCTCTCTGACCTCCTAGAAGCATATCTGAACTGGAAACAGGTGGAGAAAGTCTTCTGGACCTGGATGGTGAGTTAGAAACAACAACGTACAAGAAAACAGGAGCATGATTCAACACTGAAGTGATTTCCAAAATTGTGGGTTGTAATTCCCAAAGATTAGGTGCACATTCCTTGATGTGGCAGAGTATCCTGCCCAAACAAAAGGATGGAAATCTGTACTTTCACACTGACATATTTCTTTCTCTGACCAAGGTTGACAGTTTCTCCAGCCAATGAATGCTAGCAGCCATGTGTGTAAGGAAATGTGATGATCATTTTGTGTGTGTGTGTGTGTGTGTGTGTATGTGCAGGACAGTGTGATGGACTGCCATCTGAAAGATCCTGTTGTCAAGAAGCCAACACATACACCCAACGTGTGTCACCATGGAAACGAGGGGCTTGAGAAATTGGATGACATGCTGTTGAGACTGCCCACAACACAGGTGTGCGACGCACACATGCAGACACATGTTTGTGTAAAAAAATAAATAAATAAATAAAAAGTTGATTCAAAAAAAGAAATTGTTCAACATTTTGGTAAACACACTACCTTGCTTCCCTTCCCAGAAAGAGATGAGAGATTGATATGAATTCCATATGTGTGTTCAGTAGTGCGCTGGAGTCAGGACATGGTTAGCCCTGCTAGCATAAAGAATGGAAATGGGAGGAAACGCTTATTTTAGCTCTTATCTACAGTTTAAAAGTCCACCAACCAACACGAGCGAGCTCACTAATTAATGGATTCATCTTCCACTCACCAATTTTTTTAGGAACAACATACTAATAGTGGGTAGGGCCTCCTATTGCTCTCAAAACTATGACGAAGTATTAGGACCACATTGAGGAAAAAAGGAAATTTTGCAAATGAAGTCGTAATTTTATTAAAAATGTAAAATTTCGAGAGAAAAAAAACATTATTTTTAGGAATATTAGAAGCAACCAATGAACCAGATAAAAGTCAGTGTCAGTGGCAGCCTGAGCTGCTTCTGGCAGCTGCTGTTTGTCTGTCTAACAATAGAATAGACTCAGTTTCTGCACAATCTTTTCAGTGTCATGATGATGATGATGATGATGATGATGAGCCAAAAGATGAAGTTTCTCCTTATTTGTGAAACCTAAAGTGGAATTTCATGTTCCTCATTTTAAAGCTTCTGATATTTCCCTCTAAAACAACACGCAACCTAAAATTATCGCTTCAATCTTTCTGAAAATTACAACTTTATTCTCCTAATATTATGACTTTATTCATGAAATTCCAGATTGGAATGGGCCAGATGTGGCCCTAACACTAACACAAACAGCCTTATTCCACAAGGTTTTATAAACATTCCTTTTGAGACTCTACTCCATGTTGACCATCATTTCTGCACATTCACACTTTTTTTTTCATCAATACAGATGATCTTTGATCAGACCAATATCATAATGATAGTTGTGTGATCCTACTCAGTGTTTCTGTGTAATTTTCTTCATCTTATGTACCAGAAAGGACAGAGGAGAGAAGGAGGGGATACTGAGGACAGAGGAATCTTTCCTCTCCCCTCCCTGCCTTCCCTCCTCCAGGCCCACCGAGTCAGGCTCCAGGTTGAGAGGCCTGTCAGACACAGCAGCTACCCAGCAGAGAGGCACCGTGGCAGGGCTGAGGCTCCAGATGAACTCCCAGCGTCTCAGGCTGCACAGCTGCTTCTTCAGACAGAGGCTCTGCTGCTGGAGAGGAGGGACAAGCAGAGACTTGCCAACAGGATGCAGCTGCAGGAAATGATTGGTGGACTGGATGAAGTGGTGTTGATACCACCATAGATTTTTATTTTTTAATTGGACAATTAAATTTTGCAATAGTACATGAGATGCTCTTGTCAAATTTATAAGGACCTGTCTATGAGACATGTTTTTCCTATTTATATGACTTTATCAGGATTACTTATATGGCTGAAAGTTTTGTGATGGACATGTTCAGATATATAACATGCAGATTTAGTAAAACCAAAACCAGAAATGACCAGAAATTCATTTTACAGTTGAAACAAGATACTTTCTTGTATTTTTGGCTGGACAGTGGGGCTAGCTCTACAAAAACGAATGTCCATGACCGACTGACCGAGTGAGTGATCAAGTTACACCATTGGTCAGCTGAATGCCCCATGAATGTTATCGGCCAAGTGTAGGAGTTTCCCCATCAGCTGTTTACAGCCTGCAGTGTTGTGAACTTTTCAGACACCATTAACGACAAAAAAAGCATCTGGTGACTAATCCAGCAAGTTTTTGGACACACCTTAGCTACTGAGTCTGTGCGAGAGACAGAATGAGAAAGATATTCTGTTGCTTCTAACGTTCTCTCTGAGTGATCGTTTTACATGTAAATAGAGACAAAATCACAGCTCAGTCTTTGTCTTTAATTTATGTTATAAAATAAGGATTTTAGCAGCAGAGCAGCAGTTTCGAAGTGACTGCTGGTTAACGTTTCTCTTAATGGACCATGTTATGGTGCATAATACATTCACACACCCATATCAAAAAATTGAACTTCGCTGTGCCTAAATCCTATTTTACGCATCACAAATTAAGAAACTCATCAGCTCACATTTTCAGGATAACTTGAGAGAACTTCTGTTTTGATTTGGGGCTATTTAAATAAAAATTGACTTGACTTTTTCTAGAGTTGCTGCAGTGAATGTGGTGCAGAACACATTCACACACCTGTATCAAATAATGTGAAGTTATGGACAAAAATGTGCACATCTGCAAATTGGGATGTGAATTCATGCAATGAGAGTTGCACACCTGTGGAATATTTTCTCTCAAATGCAGACACTTAGATCCAGATTTTTGGTTGGAGTGTGTAAAAAAAGAAGAGAGATCATTAGAATAATAAATTCAAACACAAGCTACAGTGATTGGAAACACTTTCTGCGTCTTTATTTATTCATCAAATTGAATAACACCAAATTTTTTTTGTGTTTGTGTAACCATCCTTTGGGAAATCAGGAGGATTGGAATAAAATAGTCAAAGTACCACAAGAAATTGAAACAGAATTTAAATTTCAGAGGCTAGACTGAAGCACTAATGATACAGAGGTTAGTTTTAAATTCTACCCAATCTTCTTGTCTGGTAAGTTGACTGACTGAGCAATCACGCAGAGACTTGGTGTATCCCTGTAAAAGGATTTTTGCCAGTGTACGCTTCAGAGAGTGGTTCCATTTAATGGTAAAAGGGCTGTAAAGACTAAATCATCATGAAGAATTAACCACTAACAGTTTCTGCATGTAGGAGTTGAGCCACTTCTGCCTCTCCATGGAGGTGAGCAGCTTACTCTTCTCTCTGAAGGCGGCATCATCAGCCACCACCATGTTCCTCTTCACCATCCCGGCTCCCTGAGACGACCACTCAGCAGGCCATGCTCTCTCCATGCTGGTAATAATAATGATAATATTAAACTTTATTTGTATAGCACCTTTCAAAACCAAGTTACAAAGTGCTTTGCAATTAAAATCAATAGTACAGCAATAAGCAAATAATTAAGATGCCAAACACTGACAAAAACAGGGTAAAAGTTACAGCAAAGCCAGCGGTTAAGAAAAAGCCAAATGCTAAAAGTAAGTTTTAAGAAGAGATTTAAAAGAGGCAACTGAGTTTGATTAGATTCATTAATAGTTTAATAGATAATCCAGGATCTCCAGATTAGTGACCAGAAAACAATCCAGGTACCACACAAATACATCGCTCTCAGAAAGTATTCAGACCCCTTCACTCTTTGCACGCCTTGCGTTTCATTTTAAATGGATCAAATTGCTGTTTTTTCCGTCAGCCCATCAGTCTACACCCAATAACCCACAATGATAAAGTGAAAACATGTTTTTAGAATTTTTTGCAAATTTATTAAAAATCAAAAACCGAAATCAACAAAAGCATCAGACCCTTTGCTGTGTTACTCCAAATAGTGGTCAGGCACATCCTGTTTACTTTAATTAGGCGTCCAAGTTGAGTCGCCCGCTGCTGGGGCCTGTTGTTTTTGTTCTCATTCTTCTTCTTCTTATTTTTTCTGCTAAAAAAATCAGCAGGTGGGTTGCAAATGCCATCCACAAATCTGAATTGGCTGCATGTGTTTGGATGCAAGGTCCTAGCTCCAAGATATTGAATATGCATATTTCTAAAATTGTCAAACTATTCTTTTAACTTAAACGGTCTAATCCTTTACCAGAGAATATGAAACAAGAGATTGGTTTTATAACACGTGATGTGACATTGCACTCCTGCACTGTTCAGTTCTATTTGATTGGAACTTCATATTAGCTTTCTCCCTCACTGCGCAGACAGTTACCTCGCCGCTGCCCTCTCTGGGGCAAAGAGCCACGCCTCCCTCATCACTCCCGCCTTGCTGTCGGCTGCTGCTCCGAGGCTGGGCGCTGACATCATTTGAATGCTCCAATCACGGAGAGAGATGGAGGGGAAGAGGACATCCCAGTCGTCTCGTTTAGGTTCCTCTGAGTCGTCAGTACGTCTGGAAACAGATAAGACGACACACGTTGATTTCTTGGGGGATCCTAGAATATTTTCAGTCCAGCAGAGAAAGTTCAATTTTAAATACAAAATCTGAAGTATGTTAATCCACATTTATCATGTTAGATTATATGATTCAGAAATATATAAATAAGGAAGGAAATGAATGAAAGAAAAAAAAAAAAAATCAGACTTTCAGTGAGGTATCCCTGAAGTATTAGTGAGGTCTTTGGTCTGTTAGTTCAGGTCTTGGTTACCCAGAACCAGTTTACCAATAACAGCTACAGGGAGTAACCACCTGAGAGGTAGTCGAGGCTGAGGGAAGCCGGATGTCATCAAAGTCATACCCAGAATGCAAAGCAACAGGAAGGACGTATGGGGGAAAGCTGGTTGTTCAGACATCCTAAAAAAAAATAGATGCATAGATAAATAAATATATAAATAACATCCTTTCTAGTTCTCAGTATGACTGTCAAATGTGGTCTTTTCTATTTGATTTATTTATTTGGATCCCCATCAGCCACTACAAAGGTAGCAACTACTCTTCAAGGGGTCCACTCAAATAAACATGATGTCATAATGCAAAACAATAACATAATAATAATATTAAACAATACAATGTTAAAAACAAAGACAAAGGGAAGAAGAAAATAACCACAAATACAAACAACAGTAAAACTACTAATAACGATAATAACAACAATGACAAGTCACACTTTATCTAAACAGTTGGTAAATATTTCTTTAAACTCCTTTTTAAAAACACTTTTACTTGTTAAATGTGAAATATTTGATGGCAAACCATTCCATGTTTTCATTCCTTTGAACAGAACGGACCATTACCTCGCATCCGTTTTTGAGACAGGAAGTGAGAAACAGCCTCTCGATGCCTCGTATTAAAGTTGTGACCGTTACTCCAATATAAAAACTGATGGTACAGGACATTCGGGTATTTATAAAATTAAATATTTCCTATAAAATAAAGCAGAGGTCTTCCCACCACATGTGAGTGTGAAATGATGGATATACATTCTAAACATAAAGCTCCTTTCACACATGCACTGCGACCCTGAACCTTTCCAGACTTTAGCAGGAGGAGCTGTGTGTGAGAACGCAAATGTCCACATCAGACTTTACCCTTCCATCTCCTTAGTGCAGGGCTGTGTGTGAAAGGGACAACTCTTTGCTCAATTTATATTTAAAAAGAAACTGCAAACCAGCAAAATGTCCATTAAGTGCTGAAATATATGTCTTTAAATGTCTTCGATTTCATTTTCTCCTATAAACCTGCACATTACCAAATACCGCCAGATAGATAAAGACAAGGTCGTGACCCTGATGGGTCTGCACTCACTTTTTAAGGCCATATAGGTTGTTGTTTTTTTACCACTAGCATTTATAAAGAGAATTCCCTCCATTAGAATAAAGTTTCTTAGTCTTATTTCTCAGCAGAACACTTTATGAAATGTTCTGTATAATTCTCCAAACAAAACATTTTTAAGGGGTTTCTTAAACACATGTAATCACATATTATACTTTTCCATGCAATATATATATATAGTTTGTTTTTGTATATTTAACACATTAATAGTATAGAGTAAAAACAATTGACATAAAATATTTCATAATTTCTGTGTAATCCAGTTGTTTTTTTTTTTAACATTTGTGATTTGTTCAAACATTTTCATGGGAAACGTTAGTGCACATACACAGCCTGTTTGTCCAGCGCATGCTCAGTCATAGTCACAGAGTTATTCTTCATTAACAAATGAAAAATCTGTAAATGCTTTCTTGAGTCACTTGGAAAAAACAATTTACTGATATATTTTACACAAATATTTTTTTATCTCGTTATCTCAAGATAAAAAAGCTTGTTATCCCGAGAAAACGATTTTTCGTTATCCCGAAATAATGCGTTGATCAATGTGTCGTCCTGACGTTTTCACTTTACTGCTCCAGATGTGATTATGGCCTCTCTCGGCTTCTGAACAAAACAGTTTGATACGCAGAGTTTTTTTTTTTCAAGTTGTTAGTGGGCCAGCAGTTGGCTGGATTCTTACCTGCTTCTCAGGCGGATGCGTTGGTCTGTCTGTTGATAGTTTACACCAGGAAGCAGACTATCAAGTTGGACTTCTGAGGTCAGAGGTCAGCCGTCATCCAAGCAGAGAAATGTTGCCGGAAGAACCACCACCACCAAGGAACTAACCACAGCAGCAGAAATGACTCTGCAGTCAGGTATTTGCTTTTTGTTGCTACTATATTTTTTTTCTATTTTTGTCTCTAAACACAAAAAAGTTTAGATAAAAACTTGGATTTCCACTTTTTTGTGTTGCTGTTCTGCGTGCACATCTACAGTGGTTGAAAACCACCAGTTTCTTGTCTTACATACTTATATATACCCTGCACTGGAGAGCTTCAACCCTCCATCCACCTAAACGCCCCCACCCCCCCTAACTCGCTTACACACACACACACACACACACAGGCGTACACACCCTGCACCAGATCAAACCAACTTTGAGTTTCCATGTGAGCATGCGAGAGGGAAAACCCTAGTGGAAGTGTTGTTAGCTTGTTAGTGTCCCATTTCAAAGACTATCAGTCATGGTGCTGAGGTAGAGAGCCCCGCATCTTATTACTGAAAATCATTATAGTGTTTGTGTATGTGTGTGCGTGTGTGTGTGCGTGCGTGCGTGCGTGCGTGTCTGCGTGTTAGTGAGTTCATTCATACCTGGTGAGAGATGAACCAAACACTGGATGTTTCTCTTTAAGACTAAAGCATCACTATCTCACTTTGTCTGCGCAGAGAAAAAAAAATCCATGTGTGTTTGATGATAAATAATCTTACTTGACTTACCTGACTTGTCCATAATAAAAAATCATGTGAAATCAATAGATTATTCAGCCTGCAGTGACTGATTTGACTGACTTGGGGACAGTGGAAACCAGCTGCAAACAATAACACTGATCAATAACACTGATACTATCTGACATCATCGCCTTGATCACTTGATATGGCAGATTGACTATTTGTAGAATTATTATGGAGTCATGTTTGTGTGGGACTGGGACTTTTAACTACATGTATCACTCCGCTTCACAGGTGTTCTATTAACCAGAAGAGGATGAAGGGAAGAAGCCTGGATACTTCAGTACACACCTAAGGACAAAGACAAAGTAACAAGCTAGTGTGCACTGTGCAGGTCAGGAAAATGTTTATATGTTGCTTAGCAACAGTCCAGTATCAGTCCAGTTATAGAACTATTTGTGTTGGCATTGCCAAATAAATGATGAAACAAACAAACAAATCATAATCTGTTGTTGCTAATTTAACTAACATGGTGCTCAGAGAACTGTTGTATAAAGGGTCGTGATGTTGTACTGAATATCAGCTGTGATTGTCTTCGGTAAATAATGAATTGTAAATAAATGATCTATCCCACTGACATCAGTATCAGCAGACATCCATGCTTGTTGCCACTTTCATGGCAGTTTTTCAGGACTTCTCCAGTCCTTGATCGCACCTACACTGTTTTCCATTGTAGCAGCAGTCAGTTAACACAACACCAGACCTGTTTGAATTGATATGGTTAGAGATTGAGAGGTTTGAAAGCAGGGACAGCAGCCTATGACTTAATAATGTGTCTAAGATGAGAGATTCATAACAAAGAATAGACTTGGAGATCAGTTGGTGTTCCATCATGTCGTCTTCATCAGCTCAGCTTCATTTCAAATGAGGTAGAGAGGTTTCATCAGAGCATGACACTCTGAAGTGGGGCAGTGCTGTGCTTTAAACGTTTCCTGGACAATCCGTTTTAGTGGAATATTCGGCTTATACAGACGCTTTGTTAGTGTGTCAGAATCAAGAATCCGTCCACGTCCACACATCAGCTTTACAGGAAGTGGTTAAAACAAAATTGGATGTGTCCATTGACGTGCATATTTGATACTTTGGCCCTAGGTCATGAAACACTCTCTCTGCGTGGATGCCTACTGAAATTGAAACCAGACAAGAGGTGAATTTGTGGAGAGATTCTGCGGAGTTTGTTAGCGTACAGGATGCTCGTTACCATTAAAGGACCTCATTACGGTTCTTCTCGGAAATAATGTCATGCAGACAGGAAGCGGCTGGTGTTAACAATGGCTCTGCAGCGCTCTGATTTTTAAAGAGGATAACAAGCTTCAGACACAAAGTCTGAGTCACCACACACTACAAACATGGTCAACTCCCATCTCTACCCTCATCACCGGATAGTTTACGTTTTCATTTGGAAATGACGCTAAAGCTTGTCGACACCCCTGACCATCAGTACTGTCCACTGCTGCGTGATAGAGACATTGGTGTAGTGAGCAAAAGCTTCAGCTTTACATTTGAGTAGCAGTCTATTTTAGTCATCGGATTAGGGGTGTAGCATGTTTGCGGCTAGCTCGTATGACGTCTATATATATACATATATATGTCTTTATTTAAACTGCGAGATCATTGAGGGTAAAGCACCTCTTTCACAATGATGTGGAGTAGATAAAATACCAGTTAAAAAGAACATCAATTAAAACAAACATATATATATGTACAATGAATAAATAATGTTATGACGAGAATCAATTAAAACAAGTACAAAGAGATTAAAAGGTCAGAGATTAAGAATCTAAAATGACCAAGAACCACCAATGAATTCATTTTAAATGCTTTGTAGTGAGTCCGGGTTGAACTGGAGGGACATGAAGCGTGAGACAGTTATTAGTCCTGGTGTCATGTGGTCCAGTGGTACAGACTAACATGGATGTAATATATGACTGAAGTGGCAGCGCGTGTGATGTAGGGGTGAAGAGCTTGCCGTCATAGTTTTCCGTCATGTTTTCCTGTCACAACGGTCCCCAGTCCTTAGTGTTTTATGTCTGTCTTGTCATTTCCTCCCTCTTGTGTCTTTACTTCCTCCCGTGTGATTACCTGCCTTCTCCCTAATGTGTTTCACCTGTGTCTCGTTATTCCCAACAGTATTTATGTCCTGTGTGTCCCTTTGCACTTTGCCAGTTTGTTTTCTTCTTCCCCTTCTAATTAACCTCATTGGTTTGTTATCAACATCTGCAGTCAACCACACTTAAACATTTAACATCACAGTTTGTTTGATTTAGAATCAGATTATTTCCTTTTAAGCTCACATTGTTGGAGTGCACACATTTTAACACTGTCAGGTTACAGAGGCAGTTTTCTGTTCTATTGATCATTTGTTTTTGAGTTGCTGTGGCTGAAGGCTGATGCTGGGGTTTAGTTAGTTCTAGTAATAGCTGGTGTCCATCTTATATGTCATTAGGTTTTTATTATGTTTTTATCATGTTCCCTCGTGTCATTGAGTTGGGTCAGTTTGTTAAATTAACATCTGTTTGGTTGTTATCTTGAGTATAGTTGTGTATCATTGACTTCTTTTATAGGCCGAGTTATAATCTTTTACATTGTTTAGGTAAATAACAACCCTGTTTTTTTTTCCAACAATTCCTGTGTTCAGTGAGTGTGGTTTCCTTGACATTCGCTTTATTTAATTATGCCTTATCATATTATCATCATACCTGTCCTAGGTCATATTCTTGTTATCACATACCCAGCTAGTATTCATTTCCCTCCTTTAGTTTAGAGATGTCAGGGCAAAAAAAGAATCAGCGTCAGCAAAGTGTGCAAACTGTTTATTTACAACACAGTCACTTCCTGTATATAGAAGAAAGATGAGGAATGAAACCTCTTGACCTTTACTGGGGTTCTTGGAATGAAAATGAAGGTTTTGATCCATGTAGCACCTACCATACCTCTGCTTTGAAAAAAAAACCATTAGCCCTTTAAACAAGTGTGGCTGCTGCTTCTAGAAATGACAGATTCATCTTGTTAATGTAATCCTGAATCAAGTCGTCCGTCATTTACAGTCTGGCCCAGTTTGAAGCAGAGGTTTTGAGGATAGAGTAGCATCAAGTTTCAGAGAGTATAAACAGTATAAACATGATCATTTTAGAATTACATGCATTTTTAAAAACAGTCCTCGGGGTTCCAGACCCCTTCTGAAGATATAAAACCAGTCTCCATCTCTTTGTTGTCTCCTCTGCTCTCTTTGGTGATGAATGAAGCATGTGGCATCAGACCAGTCAGAGACTTGTTAATTAAAAACACCAAATATGTTTCATCACATTCAATTCTGTGACATATCTTGCATGCACTAATCCACATATTTTTCCATTTGAAGTCTGAATTACATTAATATTTCAGGTGAGGCCTGGGACTAAAAACCTTTCCTAAATGTGGTTATCTTCTTTTGAATTAGCACGTTGCTGATTCAGTCGCTGCAGCAATGTAGTTGCCATAGTGATAACAGCAGCTGCCACTGTGATGCTGGAGCAGTTAAAGGCTAATCAAACTCTTCTCTTCCGCCTCTGGCTCTGGCTCTGGCTCTGGCTCTGGCTCTGGCTCTGCAGCGTCGACAGCTGCTGTGTCAGCTGGGAGGAAGTTCTCTGCAGGTGGAGCCGGGGGCGGGTCAGTGGGGCAGCTGCGGACGGGCTGGTGGTTGGATTGGTCGATAGGGTGATAGACAAAACAGTAGGCTCCAGGTTGGCAGCTGTTCTTAACACTGAGGGCCAGCTCTGTAGAGGCCAGGGGCCGGGGAACACCATCCATATACACACTGAGAGTGTAGGAGTCTGGAGGAGAGGAAGAAGGAGGCATGACACACTAATAACAGCGTAGTGATCATAAAACAGCAGACATGGGTGGACAGTAATGAAGTACATTTGCTTGAGTACTGTACTTAGGTATATTTTATAGTTTTGTTGTTTTGTTGTTTTTTTTTTTTTAGAAACTTCTATACTTTTAACTACTTTAACTACATTTCTATGAAGTACTCTCACTTTTAGTCAGAGGAATGAATATTCTTTTATTTTGAAAGTGTGATAGACCCTACACTGTGTTTATCACAGAGAAAACCCAATCACAGCCAACTCCTCCACTCTGTCATGTGCTGCTGCATTGCATAAACCCAGAGTTGTCTTCAGGACATTCACCTTGTTCGAAGCGTGAAGCACACTGCTCAGACAGCTGCTCGACTGTCGTGGTGGGGAGGACACCCAGAGTCTTTGGGTTGGTTCCAATCTCCGGACAACACACTGTCAGAAAGTCGTGCACACATGCACGCACGCACACACACACACACATTAATTACACAGAGATAGCTGTATGGACACATCTCAGCTTGTTTCACGATGACTGGCAGTATTGAATACAAATTGTCAATGTCTCTTTCACTCTAACCTTTCCAGAACATACATTGTTGATGATGTTGTGTGTGTGTGTGTGTGTGTGTGTATACCCGAACAGATCCGTGGGCCGTGCGCTCTTGGTTGAGTGTGCGTCGTCTCTCCCAGCGATGGATGGAGTCCTGAACCTCTCTGCTGAGCTGCCGTGTTGCTGACCTCTGCTGGTCGAACGTCTTAATGTGCTCCAGAGCCCCGTAGGTGGTGGTCAGATAATAGGAACCTACAGAACAAACACTTGTGCATCATCAGTCATGTAATAAACACAGATACAGCAGGTCAAACTGCTGATGTATTTATAGAGTTAGTCAATCATGATTCACAGACAAGACCAGGTTCAGGTTCCCAGGTTGTGGGAGCTCCCAGTGACTAGACTGGACTGCATGAGCATATACATGTGTGTGTGCGCACGCATAGCTGTACACATATAGATATGCGTATGTGTCTTTACCTTCTCCTATTGTTAGTGATGGATCCATCAGCTCCATCATATATTCAACATCCAGCTGCAAGGCAGACAGATTGGATCTAGCCAGGACGTACATCATTACAGGCAGGAAGTCATCAGCACCATGGGCCCGCCCTGAACACACACACATGCACACACGCACATACACACACACGCACACATGCACGCACACACACACACACACGCACACATGCACGCACACACACACACGTACACACACAAACAAATATATAAATATTATGACATTCCAGAGAAGAACCACATTTTGATTTGAGCCACCCCTAACCTCCCTAAATTTGAGTATGTTCTTGACATGCAAACTGTTATTCACATATTGTTGGAGTGAGTGTAAAAGCCGCTGGTCTGTGTGTAGTTTGTATTATATGTAGTATTTAAATATGACCAACTGAGAAATGAAAAGAATAAAAAAAAAGCCTATTTCTCATAGACAATCATTATAGAGGAAACAGCTATAGAACAAAATGAAATGAATAAATCAATGAATCATCTTTCTGAAATAAATCTTATATTATCACATTTTGAACTCTGAACAAGACAACAAACATATCTAGTAGTTCCTCTTGAAGCTAAAATGTGCCTACTCCACATTTACCCTGTAGATTTTCCAGTGAATGTAAGGAAACACAAGCCAAACGTGTAATTGCTCTAAAATGGAAGGAAACTCAGAGACTGAAATCTAGTCAGTGGATTAGCGAGATGTCTTGTAGCCTAGCATTAGAAAAAGTGACCCACGTAGTAAGAGGCAAAGCTGAAGATTTTTACAGGATGTGGACACTTTTTTTTTTTACATTTCATGAATGACCCGACTGCAGACGCCTGTGATTGGAGAGAGACTGGTGCCACCAATAGGACGCTAACCGAATGATATACTTCAGTTTTTAAATTTTTAAAAATTGATCTTTAATTACAATGCTCCTATGATATGACTTATGTATACATGTATATACGTGCATGTTTTTTAATGACCTTGTATGTAATTTATTTTATATTTTTTATTTATTTATTTATTTTTATTTTATATTTATTTATTTTATATTTTTATCAATATTTTGGTTATTTTATTTTATATAGTTTTACTTGTGCATGTTACTGAACTTATTTAGATTCTTGTCTATAATCACTACAACTTGTATGTATAACTCAACATTTGAAGTTATGTTTATTGAGTTTTATTCTTTAATCTTAATAGACGGTTGTGTTGTTTGTGGTGGGAGGGAGGGTCTTAATGAATGCTTGAATGTTCCGTTTACTAAATTTGAAATGAACAAAAGCTAATAGACTAAGTATTGAAAAAAACAAGAGTGTTTACTTCTTGTTTAACTTTTGTGATTAAAAACAAAAGTGAGAGGAGCATTAGGGGTCAGAGGTTAAAGGAGTGTTCGTGGCTCTGACCTGGAGAGCTGATAGACATGGAGTCATAAATGATCTTGCAGGCCTTCAGCAGCAGCTCGATCTTCTTCTGAGGAGAGTACTCCAGATGGAGGTTGTTCAGTTTGATGCTGATCTTCTCCATAGCAGTGGCCTCGGGGACAGATGTGGTCACTCCCAATGCTGTGGTGGTGCTGCCTAGGACAATAGACTGACACAACAACACACACACACACACACACACCATCAACATCACTGCTGCTGCTGCTGCTGCCTTCCTGCAGCTGTGGTGCACTTGTAATGTTGGTCATGATTTCACAGCTCATGTTGTACCTGGTTCTGTGTCAGCTGTTTCAGGCTGTTGTCTTTGTTGTGCAGCTTCTCCAGACTTTGGTAGATTGGCTCCCTCAGTGGCTTCAGTACACTCTTACACAGAGCGGCTTCCACTATGCTCTCTGCAAGGACACACACATGCATGATGTGAAAAAGATGTTTCTGATGGACGACAAATTCAAAACAACCCAACTAACTACTTAACCTTGTTGAAAGCAGTCACCGATCTCAGCCGTGACCCAAGCCCCGCTCACCCGGACCCAGAATCCAAACTTGCAGGATTTGGTTTCTCTGAGTGTCTTACCTGAAATCTGCTATATTTTTTAATTTGATCAATCAGAAAACAGTCAGCTAATCAGAAGAGAGGCTCAGAGCCTCTTTAAAATATTGACCTCTTTAAAATATTGACCTTTAAAGGCTCTTTAAGGTGACCCTCCAGCAGTGTATTATTTTATTTTATTATATATCATGACATGGTGGGACTCACAAGCAACAGATTGAAATCGAAGCAGCGGAGGACAAGGTATCTAGAGTTTTAGACCCATGTATGTGTCAAGCTCCAAAAACGCAGGTTCCTGAATTTCCCATAATGTAACACAATAGTATCTTTTCATTAAATTGCTCCACCTCACAAATGCCTGTATACTTAAAATCCTACACCTCAGTCTTTCAGTCTTGTATGTGTAGCTTTCTAAACCCAAACTGAAAGACATTATGTAACTGTTTTCACAGGCTGTCAAAGGAAAAGTAAGTTTTATAAAAGCATGAACAGTTTTACATTTACAAATTGCCCTTATACAGCAGCTGGTCCCACATCACACTTTAGGAACTCTACTGAGAACAATGAGTAACACATGGTAAATAAAAGGTAATATGGTGATCAAGTTACCTATTTTGTCTTGTACATGCTGATGTTGTGGCTCCAGCATGGCCTGCAGCTCTGCACTCTGCAGCAGATAACTCTTCAGCTGAGTCATCATCTGCCTGATCTCCTGTAACAGCTCGGTGGAGGTGGAGTGGTTCGACATGGTCTCCAACGTGAACGCACGATGCTCTTTCACCTGAATATACATGATGAAAGCTAAACTTGATTCCATTTGCATTTTACACTTATTGGTTGATGTTGAAATCCAAATATATCAGATGAATATTAAATCGGACGAGGATCTTTCTTCCTCGGTGTACTCACCAGGTTACCAAAGTAGCTCAGAGGGTCCCTGGCCAGCTCTACTATGCGCTGCGTGAGGCGGCGGTCCTGGCTGATGAGGCCGGTGATGACGGTGGACAGGCGGTGGCGGGCTCGGCCCAAAATAACGGTTGTAGGGGTCCTCCTCACCGCTGCCTTGGGATTACGGCTCTCTGCAGGGCGACTGCAGGGAAATATACAGTAAGTTTATTCCTTTAGTTTTAGTCTAGTCTAGGAAAACTCTTCACTTCAGTGTTTGATTTAGTTTCCTTCACTGAAACAGCGGTGCCAGTTAATCATGAGGTCCAGTCTTCACACCTCCTCATGGTGTCATACAGAGTTTTGATCATTTCAAGTCTAGACAAAGTTTCTCTCTTTCTTATTAATAAACAGCAACAATCTTTGTACATTTTGATATTTAATAAAACTAATCTATGTGTTTGAGACCTTAGCTTTGAGACATGGAGCATGATCCTGATGGAAGGAGCCATTAGAAGATGGTGAACTGAGGTCGTAAAGGGATGAACATGATCAGCAGCAACACTCAAGAGAGAAATAATTTACGTTATCAGACTCCTTCCTTTTTTAACTTTATTTTTCTATCATAAGAGCTAGACAGACATGCGTAGGGTTGTTTGGCGTTGGCGGATGTATGTGCCACCACCCTGAATGAAAACTCTAGAGACTGCTGTGTGTGAAAATCCCAGGAGATCTGCAGTTTCACAAACACTCACACCTGCCCGTCTCGCACCAACAATCACGGCACGGTCACGGTCATTGAGACACATGTTTTTCCTCCTGTAAACATTAACTGAAGCTCCTGGCCGGTATCTGCATGATTTTATGCATTGCACTGCTGCCACATGATTGGCTGAATGGCATGAAAAAGGTGTACATATATATAGAACACTATTTGGACCTAATATTTCTACCTGACTCTCCCACAAAAACCACACCGCAAAACCTACTGCGATACTGTAAACACATTACTGACACACTATTACCACTATTATGACTTTCATTGTTTTGATATAATATGAGAGAAAGACGTGCCCTTTATTTCCTACACCAATATCTTAACTGGAAAAGTTCCCTCCTGTAGTTCAACCTTTCCAGTTTTCAGTTTTCCAACATGTTGAAAAGGCTGAGACCATGTGCTTTGTCACACACTGGTTCAGTTTAATATAATTCATTTGTTGATTACATTTTGTAATGCAATAGTTGAAATAATGCATGAATTATATGAATAGCCAACTGTCTAACAATATGTCAGTCTTTATCATGATACCATTGTTAATACAGGCAATGTATCATGATAGTATTGGGTGGTTATTTTTCGGTCATGATTATTTTAATTATTATACTTTGCAGGTGTTGGGGAGTATAACTGTGTATATGAAAGAAGTTGTATAAAGTCTTTTTTGGTTTCCCATCCACCCAATCCTATACTAGCCACTGCTACTAGCATACTAGTGTAATTTCATAGCCGGAAATCGTAGGGGGGGGCAGGGGGGACATGTCCCACCCTTCTTGAGGGCTGTCCCCCTCAGTATATCATTGTAAACCTAACTATGTAAATGTAAGTAATATAATAAAGTGCAAAACAATTTTGTTATGCTTGTGCATTTATTGCATTTTGGGTTAAGCGTCGAATGATTTTGCCCCCCCCCCTCTGCCTCACAGCGGTTCGGTCCACTGTCTGTCATCTCACGCTGTGTTTGGAACCGCCTACTAACATACTATTCAAACTAAGTGTGACGTCAAAATGAGTATGTAGTGCGTTCCAGCTGCATAGTATGTGAATTTTGTGTATGTGAGAAATACGAAGATGTTTACTAGATTAGCTGTAATCATACTGGACATACCCAACTGTCCCATGATGCATTGCAGCCTTCAAACTACGATGGCAGGCTATGAGGCGGAGGCTCAGTAAGAGGCATGACCGCGAAGTGCTGCTCTGGACCCAGGACGTTACAGCACAGTGCACCAACCGGCTGCTCTCCCAAATCGTGGCCGCAGATTTACAAACAGACGTTACTCATATAAACAGACCAAAACTTGTGAGTCCAAACACTCGCATTCTCACCTAAAAAATGTTCAAACTTTAAAAAATGACCTATAAACAGTGTTATTAGTGAATATTACCACAACTTTCAGCCTTCTTTCAAATCCCCGCCAGTCGCCGCTGTCACTGCCGATTCGTGCGAAATGCATTCTGGGATACTGCCTGTATACTTCAGTGTGAACAGTCAGCTTGGTAATGCCATGCTAATTTGTTCATTTAGTAGGTAGTATGCAGTACATACTCATTGAGTATGTAGTAGACAGTGGGTTAGTGGGTGGTTCTGAACGCAGCCTCACACACACACATTGGCCCAGTGCGAGCGGCTGTGGCTCAGAGAAAAGGAAAACTCGCATACTCTTGTTTTGCAGTGCAGCAAAACACCAAATCAGCCCCCAGTAATATCAAAGACAATGACATTATGGAATTATTATTATCGATTATGGAAATGTTAACATAAAGGTGTTCGAGGGTTCGAGTCCGACCCGTGGCCCCTTGCTGCATGTCATCCCCTCTCTCTCTCCCTGACTTTCATGTCTCTCTCTCTCACTGCTACCACAATAAAGACAAAAATGCCAAAATAAAATAACAATAAAACAATAAAAAAAAAAAAAAAAAGCTACAAAACTCCAAAACACCTTGATGAATCCAGCTTTGAGACTCAAGATTTATGCCCAGTACACAAGACATCCCAAAATCGAACAAGTAGTTGATCATAATTAGTTTTCCTCTGGTATGAGATTCAGGCCACTAAAGATCGACGGGTTCATGCTCTCCAGACAAACACATTTGATTGATCAACATGGCTTTTCCTCTGACCCCAGCCTCAACATGAACTACGTAGTAAGAATCTAAGAAGAGCAAAGTCTGGCCCTGAAGCTAAATAAGCATTTTTCTGCTGTGTAGAGGGGGGAGGGGGGGGCAGGAAAACTGATCTTGATGCTACAGATTACACAGTGACTCACCTCTTATCTAAGAGATGTTTTTTCTGTGTGCGACTCTACGTCACCCTCTGTTCGCGTGAAAGTTGGTGTACCACAAGGGGCTATTCTGGAAGCCGTCTTCCTCTTAGTCCACTGTACATGCATCTACACAGTCACATGATTTATAAAAACAAGACCTCATTCCACTGGTTACACTCAGACCCCCGCATGCAGTGTATTAATTACATGTTGGCTGTTACATAATAAGACGACTGACAATAACTCCTCTTCACAGAGAAACTCAGAGAGAGGACTGGGTTAAACTTATTTCATAACGTATACGTTTTTAACATATTTGTCTACTAAACTATAAGCTTATCTTGAGCATGTCCATCTTACTACCTACAGTAGTAACTGTAGTTACTTTCACATAAAACATCCTATTTAGGATAACAGCATCGCCCCCCAAGGGCAAGGGCGAGAGAGAAAGAGGAGTGACCAACAAAAGCGAGTGTGGTTTGCTCGCCTCTCTCTCTCTCTCTCTCTCTCTCTCTCCCTCTTTCACCTGAATGATGACAAATATATTTTATGGGCATGTTAAAACAAAATCGTCATCATAAATAAAGCGTTATCATAAAAAGCAGCAGGATAAGACACCAAACTAAATGATGTGTTCTGTCGTATGTATGTATGTATGAATGGTCTCCTCCGCTCTTAACTCACAGCGCAGCTCCTAAACACAACAAGCAGCTTCATTACAGTCAGCTGATCAGAGTGTGTGTGCGTGCATGTTGCAATCATGATTATATGCCGTTATATACGTTTAATTGTGACAGGCAAATTAAATTTAGTATTAATTTAATACTACAAATAATAAGTTACTACATTAATGGGAAAACAATAGTGAGTAGTTAATCATACCAACACTTTGCCTCTCTACACCAGCCAATCCAGACCTACCTGTGGTTCTGCTCCTGTTCCTGGTTCGCCTCTCCCTCTTCTTCTGTGCTGCTGGTAGAGCAGGAGTCAGGGTCGGTGGCCAGAACGGCGCCCCCTTGTGGCGAGTACAGCGACACATCCGGCCGCCGCGCTGGCGAGGGAGGGGGGCCTCTCGTCCCAGCACTCTGATTGGCTAATCCTCCTCCAGCCTGGTTGGGGCAGACAGGTGCGTCCGGGGGACATGGTTTCCTCCTGGGTGGAGGGACTGGACGGGACGGTCTCTTCATTAATGACGGACACTGGGAACTGGATTTTTGTTGGTCCTCCTCTTTATCCAGTTTCACCTCTTTTTCCTCCTTCTCATCCTCTCTCTCTCTCTTCTCTCTGTCCTTTTTAATCTCCTCCTCTTGAGTTTGGCTCCTGCTCTCTTGTTCAACCGCTTCACCCAACAGACCTGATTTCCCTCCTGTTTTCTCCTCTCCTTTGTCTCCTCCCCCACTTTTCTTTGCGGGATTTTGTCCCTTCTCTCTCTCCGTCCCCTCTCCTACCTCTCGGTCAGCGTTCTTCCTGGAAGAGGTGCGACGGAGAGGAGCAGGAGGCAGAGGGGGAGCTGCTCGGCTCTGCAGCGGGGCAGGAGGCCTTGACGGAGAAGGTGATGTTGACATTGACTTCCTCTCTTCTCTCTCCCCTCCTCCTCCCTTTCCTTCCTCTTTTCTCGCAGCTGCTGGAGTTGTAGAAGATGAAGTGTGAGGCGAGGGGGGAGAAGAGAAGAGAAGGCCCATCCCAGACCCTGAGCCCACGATGGGGGGTCGGGGTGGAGGGCGCTTGTATTTAATTTCCTGGTTGGGTGTGGCCTTAGTCTGACCTTTGTCCTCTGGGCTAATCTGTGGAGCTTCTCCATTCTGCATGGAGGAGGTGATGCTTTGATTGGTGATGATATCAAGTTTGGAGACAGAGGAGTGGTTCAGGTCTTTGTTGGGGAACTCTTCTACTGTGACTGGGTTGACATACAAATACGGGCTGTTGTGCCTCTGATCCAAAACCAGGTCCGAGCTCTTTGCCTGCTGGTTCACATCAGATGTCCAGAAATCTGCAACACACGCAGACAGTGTTAAAAAGCTGCTTGCTGCTCATTCATCAGATCACTTACTGGCTTTCTCATTTTTTCATGTTGTGTATAATTGTTCTTTGTTCTCCTATTATTATTATCATTTAATTGCATGAACGTTCATTATTTATGACTGAGTATCAGGGCCACATTTACGAAAAAAAATCTGAAATTTTGAGAATACAGTCGTAATTTTGAGAACAAAATCTAAATTCTATGAGAAAACGTCATAATATAATGAGAAGTGTCATTTTATGCTCCGTGTTGTTTTAGAGGGAAATATCAGAAGCTTTGAAATGAGGAATGTGGAGCATCCTGTGAAGTTCTACTTTAGGTTTCACAAAAAAGGAGAAACTTCATCTTTAGGCTCATCATCATCATCATCATCATCATCATCATCATCATCTTCAGCATCAGCAAATTGAAAACATTTTTCTCTCGAAATTTTACATTTTTTTATTCTCGTAATATTACTATTACTTTTTTCTTGCAGTATTATGCCTTGTTTTTGGAATGTTATGATTTTATTCTCAAAATTATGACTGAATAATATGTGTAATATTACGACTTTATTCTTTAAATTTCAGATTTCTTTTTTTCCTCAATGTGACCCTAATACACCATCGTAATTATTAACCTTTGAAACAGACAAATAAATTACATAAAGTCAATTTTCCAGAATTTTTAATTTTCAAAAGTGTGGCTGAAAACTCAGAAAAATGTTGAATAAATGAACCTTGCGCTAACACTTTTATGCCAATTTGTTTTGTTTTGATCAACAACATGATTAAATGAATATTTAAACATTCTGAGAAAAATAACCTTAATCATTTCTTGCTAAGAATTAGATTTAAAAGAAATCAGTTTTTCCAGGTTATGTGAGGGACTACGTCTTGGTTGTATGCAGTGACTGAAGTGAAGTCATTCTGCCCATCAACAAACAGTCCTGCACATAACACTCCATAAAAACACAAATTTACACTTTGTTTTTTTGCACAGATTAAACAAACAAATTATAACATATTAATTATAGTGAGCTTTAAATGTGCCAGATTTTTTAATCTTCGGACAGAGCCCGGCTGAATGTTTCCTCCTGTTTTCAGTCTTTATGCTAAAATGAGATAATCTAAACTAATCTAGGAAAATATGAGAAAAGTATCAATATTGGTTAAGTATTACTCTAACTCTCTGACTCAACAAAGGTTGAACTATTGTTTGAGGGAGTCTGTCTTGAAAGTTAAAATATTATACAGAAGACATATTAATTCTTTTACAATGTACCAAGGAACCTTTTTGTGTCCAAGAAGACCTGTAAATGTGATATAATACATACATTATACATCATATATGTTCATGCTGTTTTCTCTTCTTTACATTGTTTGTCTCATTTCTTCATATTTTTCATATTCACTGTGTTTTTCAAAGTGTACATTCATTCTGTGTTTGGATATTTTCATATATGTTGTCAGTCATATACATTCATATAGATTTTTACTCTAAATTTCCCATGATGCATCTCTGTTAAATAGTGTTATTAATGCAACTTATTTTATCTTCTTTCATTGCTGTATCCTGTTTCTCTACTGCAGCAATAACCCAATTTCATTGCACTAATGATGTAGATTTATCTACCTGCGCCCATTGCAGAGATGACCTCCAGCTCCTCTCTCTTAGTTGCCGTGGTAATGGCCCGGGGTAACCTCAGTGGGGTGGTCAGGATGTCCCTGATTGGTGGATTCAATTAGAAGTGTAAGCGGGTAGTTTCAATATTGTGACCTACCACATTCTTTCTGTTATCGTGGCTCTGCGTGCGTGTGTGTGTGTGTAAATGTGTGTTACATAATTTCCTGTGTGTTTTGTGTAGATGCGTACCGTATGTATAGGTGAACTATATATATATATATATATATATATATATGTATATACATGAATGCTTATATACAATGGCAGGAGCTGGTGTTCAGCATTAATTATTTGTGGAAGGTGATGTGATCTTTATCGAAGTCACAGGTAGAGACAAACACAATGTGCTTAAGCTGATAACACAAACAGTTATAATCTTTTGTGTGTTTATTGAAAAGGGCCATTATATAGCCACAGTGCTGGTGGAAAAAGTAAGTGAACTCTTGGATTTAAAAAAAACGGTCGAACCTCCAAGCTCTTCCAGTAGCTGCTGGTCAGACCTGCTCAGTGTTCAGGAGTAGTAAGTTTGGAGCATTCTGCCTACAGAGATGCTTCAGCTCAGACAGATTCTTAGGATGTCTGGTGTGAACGTTTCTCTTAAGGTCCATGCTCAGCATCTTTAGTAGATTGAGGTCTGGGCTCAGACCGGACCACTCCAGAAGGTGGATCTTCTTTGTCTGAGGTCATTCTGTGGTAGATTTGTCATTATACTGCTGCATCACCAGCTTCTTGTGGTGAGCTGTCCAGGAGCAGAGCCTCAAATCATGATGAGCTCTGTGGAGTGCCAAGGCGCTCTATGGCAAACTTAGGGCACGCAGAGCGGCTTCCTCCATGCTGTTTTTTTTTTTTACCTCACTGAGCATTCTGCTTCTAGAGTCATCTTAGCTTGGCATCCATTTCTAGTGAGAGTAGCTACAGAACTAAATCATCTTCATACACACTGCCAGCTCTATCTCTGTACATGAGCTTGCAGGTTACTGGAATCTTGGATTTCTATACATTATAAATTAATTTCTTATTTATTTGTGACAGAAAATGTCAGTAATATGCCACTGTTCAAAACATAACATATTTATTTAATATAATAATATTCTGTCTGTGTCATATTCAGATTCAGCCTAGACAGAGAACTATAGAGAAAGGTGTCAGTTTTATGTGTTTTATGTCTATTTTTGCTGGGAGACGCACGTGTTCTTTGCCTTATGGACATTTTGTCTAAGTGGACTGGTGAATATCAGGAACCCACCAGATGTGTGGTGGCTGCAGAAAGTTTTGGTTTTTATTTTGGCGCACAAGTTAACGGGTTAGAGCGGCACACCCCCGTGCGTCATGCCATCTAGATCTAGAGATTCTGTGAATCGTCTATTTTTTAACACCCATGCGTCTCCCAGTAAAAATAGAAATAGACAGAAAAAAGAACTGTGGATGTCATACCAGCAACATTGAATAAAACTGACACACTATAGTTCTCTGTGTCTAGGCTGAATCTGATAATAACACAGTCATGAAAAAATATAAATATTTTTTTTAACCTTCTTTGCAGCTGCATGTGGAGACAGTGGCACTTTAGTGACTAATAACTCAGACATGTATTTATAATGAAAAGAAATCCAACATTGGAGTGACCTGTAAACTCTATGTAGAGAGATACACGACATGCAGCCATCTCTTCTCACACACAACACAGGCAGTGTGTCGTAAACTCTTTGAGATGACTTTGTTACCTTCTCAGCTTCATGCAAATACAACAATTCTTCATTGTAGGTCTTCTGAGATCTCTCTTTTTGTGAAGTAAGGATCACATCAGCAGAAGGTTTGTGAGAATATCCAGGTTAAACTCTCAGTGTGTTTTCATAAAGCAGCTTAATCCCACCCCTCCAGTCTTGTTTGAAAGCTCCTGACTCCAATTAGCTTCTGTTGATGTCAGTAGCCGAGGGGTTCACGCACTTTCTCCAGCTAAACTGTGAATGTTTAAGTGATGTTTTCAATATGGACAAGAACAAAGGCTGCACTTACTTTTCATGTATGAGTGTACACGTGCTGTAACATGACATTGTTTTTTGCATGTACATATGTATGTGTGCATATATACACGTGTATATAGAGTATGTTTTACCTGCTGGCACAGTAGAAAGAGATCAGTTTGAAGATGTCATCAAAAACCAGAGAGGAGCCGTCTAAGTGGACAACTGAGACAGAAAACATGTTGTCATTATCATGTTATCTTTCCAGCATCTGAAGCTTTAATAGTAACTCTCAGATCCAACAGCTGCACTAATGTGTAACACATACATGTCTTGTGTTGTTTGACCATCAGACTGTGTACAAGCGGCACCCCCTGTTCAGCAGGCAGGCGTACTGACAGCGTCATCCCCTTGTCCTCTGCGCTGTGAACAAGGAAGGCCTGCGAATGTCAGCATGAGTGGTTAAGGTCAGAATGAAGAACATGGAAAATACAGTTAGTACACAAACAGCATGCAACGACACAAACGTAAATTCCTTATTAATAACAATTTCAGAATGGTTGTAGCAAATTTTCATATACACCACAGCCTGTATTAAAATTCAACCAATATGGGTATTGGTTGGGCTGATTCTAATGTTTTTGAGCTCTACCTGCCAATATTATGTGATGATATCTGGCAACACTTTATTTTACAGGTCCCACAGTTTCCTATAATTTCCTACAGAGAAAATGATATGTCTGTAGATTCATAAGAGAGAGGAAGAGAGAACAGAAGAGGAAGAGAATAAACTCAAACTTGTCCGGCCGAGGCAGGAAGATTGTCTTTGGTCTCACCCAGGGAAATAAAAAAAGTAGAATAAAATAAAATAAAACATATCCACAAGCTACATCACAACACATTAACAACAGAGATCAAACGTCCCAGAGTGGAGGGGACCCTAAGTTTGCTGGGGTTTGTTACATTAATCACATTTGGAATAAACAAGTCTTTGCCATTAGTATCCTACAGTGTCGCCCAGAGGAGAAGCAGCTCAGACTCGGGGTGGGGGGGTGGGGGGTGGTGGTGTGTGTTTTGTCATTGGTCATCGTCAGAGCTTTCCTGTGCACAGCTGTGATGATGTAGAGGTCATCTAACAGCCTACCATCTTCCCTGCTGTCCTAACAATCCTGGTCAGCTTTACTACTGCCAAATGGCCTAGCAGACAGATGTTAAAGAGATGTCTCTATCCAGCTGACATATACCGTTTCCAAAACGTCAAGACTGATCCCCAGACCCCTTCAGTTTCCTAATTGCCTGGCTTTCTTACATATAATATCATCATTGTTTGTGAAACTGGCACTTGTTATCTGTGTGTGTTCATAGATAATTAAAACAGTTGACAGTTTCCACAGTTTGGTCACACAGTATCAATGATAACAGTGACTCTGCTTGGTTTAAAATGAAGTGCCCTTGTTTGAATTGAATCTGAAGAAGCGTCACAGAGGTATCATATCCATGAGAATGATGGGACGTATGGACGCATGGACAACCTGACAACAATATGCCTCCAGCTCTGACTATTGCCAGCGTGGAGACATAGAAACAGTGTCATCAGCATCTTCATATGGGCCTACTTTAACATTGCTGTCGTGCAGTGTAGTTTCATTAGTGTACAGGTCAGATCAGTGGCAGGTCTGAACACAGTCTTTGTGACCGAGGCTCTTGTCTTCTGTGCCTCAACAATGAACCTTCTTTCAAAGTCACTTAGATCTTTTCTTCTGGTGCAGCCACAACAATGGTGCAGAGAATATGGAAGCACAGGCATGGCTACGAGTTCAGTGTCCAGCAGATAGTGCCGCTCGTTTACAGTAACATGTCAGGCAGCATGAGGTGTGACATGGTCTCTGTAAAACACATAATACTGTATTCCTGATATTCCCGTTGGGTCTTAGTCAATGCACTGAGGTTGTCCATTTCATTCAGTGAAAACTTCACATCTCCTGTAACGATAGAAGGAAGACGGGTTCGTACTCTCTCCCGTTGCTCTCCATTTGGCTCCCCCGTCGTCTTCTACTGAACTCATCAGAAATTTTGCGCCTACCGCTCGGGGCAGTCGTGTAGGTTTGGAGAGCACAATCAGCTTTTTTTGCGGCGGTAAACAATGTTTTCACTTCTGTTGCCATGACGTCTCCAAAAAGCACAGAAAAAAACAAGAAAAGTCCGTTCAGTGGCACAATATCCATATTAGGATGAATATGCTGAGCAAAGATGGTGTATTAGGCAGGCAAAGGCTAAGACACTAAGTAGAAAACCCAACAACATTAACGGGAAGTACTGTAACAGGCTGCAACTAGAGAGGTGTCATCTTGTCATCCACTTCCTGGATGGAGGATGTGGCCTGGGTGTGTAAGTTGTTGAGGGAAGAAGCCATTGCAGGGCCTGGTAGAGGAGGTCCTGATGCTCCAGGACTTCAGGCTGGACAGTAGGAGGATGAAGAGGCTGTGACTGTGGGGTGGGGTCCTTCACAATGCCGAGAGCCATGTGGGGTCACAGTGCCCTTGCAACGTTGCAGTTCCCAGTTACCAGACAGTGATGTCAGAATGCTCTCAGTGGTGTCTCTGTAGGACATAGCAAGGACGGGTGGAGGGAGACTCACTTCATTCAGTTGATACAGTCCTGTCACATGTGAGGACCAGCAGAGGTCTTCTGTGATCTATACCCCCAGGAACTTCGTGCTGCTGACCCTCTCCACAGCATCTTTCTCAAGCTGATGACAACCTCCTTCATTTCCTCTGTGTTTAGGGAAAAGGTTGTTGGTCTTACACTGCTAGAAGGACCAGTGGGGGAGCTGTTTCATCATCGCTGCTGATGAGGCCCACCACTCTTGTATCATTAGAAAACTTAACAATGTGGCTGAAGCTGGATGATGCTGGGCGGTCGTATGCTCAGCAGTTCAACAGGAGTGGGCTGAATACACAGCCCTGGGGGAGTGCTGGCGCTGAGGTGTAGCTGCCGATCAGGACTGATAACTACATCCACACTACTACGTTTTCATTTTAAAATGGCGTTTTCAAACTAAAACAATCTCCGTCTAGACGAATCAGAAACCTCGCCATCCATACTGCCACATATGAAAACGCATAAATACATGACCATGCATGTACACAGGACATGTGCGAGCCGGTGTAAACAGGAAGCAGATTGTCTACTCTGCAGTTGATTCGTTGCAAGAAATACTCTGAACGAGGAACAGCAAGGACAGCTGCAGAGTTAAAATACAGAATTTAACGCCTCAACAGCTGCTAGCAAAAACATCAAGGTCAGTAACACTTATAATTCGGATTTCATGTTGTATTCACCACTGGTACTTGAGGCTGATAAGACCAAAACAGGGAGTGAACGTGGGTGTCTTTGTCATTGTTTACAAAGGTCTCTGTTTTCACCCGTCCAGACGACCACACAACCCAGGAGTTTTCATGCAGAGGGAGGGGCTGAGGTTTAACTGGCTCAGTTTCAGTCAGGTGTTGTGGGATGGTTGTGCTGAAGGCTGAGCTAAAGTTGGTGAATAGCATCCTGACATAAGTGTTCTGTCATTCATGGTGGGACAGGTCTGGGTGGAGGGCAGAGTGTGTTGGGGAGACTGGACTTGGGAGACTTCTTAGGCATGTCTTAGCATGTGGCTGGTGGGGCCAGTGCATTCCCAGGTCCTGCCTGATCCTGCTTCTTTGCGAGGGGTTGACCCCGGAGACGGTCTTCCTCACACTGTCTGCAGTCACATGCAGAACCTAGTCATCTGAGGAGAGATAGTTGGGGGGTGGGAGTGGAAGTGGGGGTGGGGTCCATAAGCGGCATGTGTCTCCATTGTGCTTCATGTGACAGGTTAGTTCTTGCTGCCATGGGATCTGAGTGCAGCAGCGTCTCAGACCCTCAGCAACATTTGAACTTCAGCTGTCAAGCAGCTTCTGGTTTGCCCCTGAGGTGATGGTATTGGTGACTGTGACATCATCAATACGCTTACTGATGTATGTTGCCACAGTGTCTGTGTATTCCTCCAGATTGATCGCTCCAATCAGTGCTCTCGAAGCAGTCCTGCAGGGATCAGACCTTTCTGGAGTCCTCGTAAATAGTTGTTTGTGTGCGGTTTAAACAAATGAGATACATTTTTTCACTTGAAGTCAATACATGCCAACAGTGTTTGTATATAGAGCTCTGAGTGCTACCAGAACACGGGTGACCTACACTCAATGCTGAGCCTGAACGCCTCCTGTGTAGACACACACGGAGCACTGAAGCTTACCTGCTGTTCGCGCTAAACGGACTGTGGAGACTTTGTGTGACACTTGTCTGTGCAATTGATTCTTAGGAACTATTCCTTTAGAACAGCGGTTCCCAACCTGTGGGCCCGGCCTGGTGGTCCGCAAAGGTATTACTATATAAATTACTTTACTAAATCATGTGCAAAATAGAACAAAGTTTGTGACAAATATGTAATAAATAAATAATGTTTTTATATGTTTTACAACAAAATGATCTTAAAAAACTCCCTTCATTGCTTTTTTTCTCATATTAAGGCCAGTCACTGTGATTGCGCATTAAAAGATTACATCTACAGCAATAACTGGAAAATGACAAAGATAGCTGGTTAGCAAGAGGAAGTGAAAGAGAAAGAGTCAAGAGGCAGATGGTGAATCAAAAAGTGATCTCTCCTCTGTCAGATGTGAGCCGCCAACGTCTTTGAGATTTTCTAGTGGGCCATGAGGTGGAAAAGGGAACTGCTGCTTTAGATGAGTCAGATCTGTTGGGAAGAACTATGTTTGGATTTTCTCTATAATTAGTCCAAAATGACACTGTCATTTCCAGGAAACTTTCACAGACGTTATCAGAGAATTATGGAAACATAAAATAAAGTGTTACCCAATAGGTGTTAATTTGATCATTTTCAGCCATAATACTTGAAATATTGGCCATTTCTCATGATTTTGCCATATCATTTTATAAAATTAGAAAGCTTTTACAACATTATAAGACTGTTATTACCACTGATGTATAGTTATATAAGTCCAAGCCCTCCAGATGATTGCCAGAAGGCTCAGAGAGACATTACTTTAAACTTTAACAGTGTGTACATGTGTGTGTGTCTCACCCCAGCTGTCTCTTTCTCCATTATACTAGTAGTTTGGTCTTGGCTGAGTCCTTTGGGCTGCCATACCGAGGTGCTCCCAACCAGGCGATCTATAGCACTCAGCGATAGAGGAGTTGGAGAGAATGGTGGGATGACAGGGGGAGGTGGAGGGTGGACTGAGGAGGAGGATGAGACTGTAGGAGATAATGGAGGAGGAGAGGGAAGACAAGTAGTAAAAGAAGGAGCAAGATCAAAGGAAACAGTTGATGGGAGAGAAGGCAGGGGAGAAGGAGAGACCGGAGTAGGGGAGAGAGGAGGTGGAAGAGATGGGGGAGGGTAGTTTGAGGAGAGAGGGGGAAGGACAGAGGGAGGAGGAGGATTGGAGGAGAGAGCTGAAGGAGGTTTAGAGACAGGAGGGAGAGGAGGGGGAAGGGACGGAGGAGTGGATGGAGGTAGAGGAGGTCGAGAGGGCAGCTGAGTGGACTTTGCTGCAGGAAGCAGCGGCTTGGGTCGACATGGGCGGGCTGGAAGGTGTGACGGCAGGGAAGGTGGAGAGAGAGGAGAGGATGATGGGATGGATGGAGTTTCCAGTGCTCCTGTCAGAGGGGTTGTGTGGCTGTGAAGAAAGGAGAGGCTAAAGGTCAGGGACGGAAACATGTGAAGGACTTGTTTATGTCTCGTCTTGGCGTCAGTTTGCTCCAGAACAAACATCTGGTCACCAGACTCATGTTTTGTGACTGCATAAACATTGGCTGGAGTTGAAGTTTACTTTGTGTACTGGATGAGATTAGTGACACATGTCCTGTTTCATCACTGTGGGTAATTGAAACTGTAGCTGAGAGGTTTAACAGCCACCAGTTAGCTTCTGATTGTCAAGTAATTCCATGAAAAGACGTAAACCAAGTGTTAGTTTATCTCTTCCCTAACCTGTCTGTGGCTCTCTGCCTTATTGGCTCCTATTGAACATGTAAATCTTAAAAGCTTCATTAATGGATTTTTTTTTTTTCACCTTTTATAGTTGTTACGGTGAACATGTTAGCAAACAGTTAGCAGTTATTCTCTAACTTTATCCGTCTGTTCTTTGGAGCTGCACTGAAAACAGCTGCTGAAATTGGTGGTGAAAACCAAAACGAGCTGAAAGACGATAAAAGGTTGTGTAGAACTGAGGGGAAATGCAGAACTGGGGATGATTCTCTGTGGGTTTTTTTGTATATATATACACACAAGTGTGTGTGTGTGTCTTCCTCTATTAGAAACACATCAATGAGTCACGGCATTGCACTGGGTGATGAATGTAATTTATTTTTAATAAATCCTACATACACCGTTTTGCTGCCATAAATACTCATTCACTCCTATGTGTTAATCCAAAACTGAAAATAGTCCCAAACAATTACTATTAATTTGACTAATGTTAGCTAAATGCTACAGAGCTGTTTTAGTATTTAGAATTCAATAGCCTTTGTAAAAAAAATGAAATGACATATATGTGACCCAATTTTGAGGCTGCATGAAATGTGTTGCTTGAAGTATATATATACTCACACACATAATACTTGTTAGCAGGATCAATTCATTATTGGTACTGATCTTTTTATGAGATTCAACAACATCATTTAACTGGTAGAAATGTTGCCTGTGTCTAGCTGTGTCTTAAAAAACAATCAGCTAACACCAGAGTTTTTTTTCCAAATCAGATTTTATCTTTTTATTGTTTCACTCCTCAAGTAAACCTGGTAATGGTTGAATTCTTCCAATAGACAAAGATTTGCGGTTCCTTGGTCGGCCACTTTTTTTATTTTGAAAAAAAAAAAGTCTTAATTTACCCAGAATTCAGCGTAAGGTAGTCCAGAACTAAACTGCTTTGTGCAACGCATGAATTCAGACGTCTATCTGCCAACACAGTCAAAGTTTATCTTTGTGAAACCAGCAGCAGGAAGGGAGAAGAGGGTCAAATGCACCATCATTATAAGAGGAAGCAGTGGGGTTATGTGGGAATAGGAAAAGGGAGCTTTATCTTTGAGCGATAACAATACTGGCAGGAGATCGTAGCTACAATCATGATAGTTTGACAGTGATGTCATACTGTTGCTACACGTTAAATAGCCAACTGCATGCCACGTTACAGCATTTCCTACGTTCTGCTGCAGTATGAGACACACTATAGAAACTGTCTACTGTTTACTTTCAAATGGCAGAGAAACACCACTCTTGTGGTCTGGTGGTTTTACTTTAAATAGCTCAGAGATACGACAACATGGTCTATGTTCGTTTGATCTCTAAGCCATTTCCACTTAGGGCCACCAGCACTGAATTAAATACTAGAGCATGTTGATATTAACTCTCAACACTTCCTGTGTCAGTTGAAATGCTGTGTTGGCAGTTAGTACAATGTACAGGCTTTTAATGAGAAAACAATGCACATTAGTCCAATTTTAACTTTAATGCAGTGGCTTCCAGCATTAGTCAGACTGCTAACTTCCTGGTTTGTGGGCTTAGGTTAGCTAGCTAACACAAGCTGCAGTTGGTAGTGTCAGAGACAGTAGAAAACAAGACACTACATTTCCGTTTATTTGCTGTATCTGTGTCACGTGGATTTGTCCACCTCCCTGCCCCTTTAGGAGACCAGAAGCAGGTCTGAGTCTATTCACTCCAATGGGCGAAGTGAACGAGATCACAGATTATCACAGATTCTTTCGCTCCAGTCACAAAATAAATATTGGATCCATTTTTCACAAGCCACACGTCTTCCGAACATTCTGACATCAAAATGACATATTTCAGATGAACAGATCAGAAGAACTTTATTGGAGACCTCCCTCTGTCTCAGTGCCATACTCTCGCGAGATCTGTCAACTGCCGACATTGTTGGCCAACTGATAACCAGATGTTTAGAGTTATTTTTGGATTGACTAAATTATACGTGAAACCATGGATTAAACTTTAAAACCTAAATTAAACATGTTTCATTGCTTAACAATTGCTAAAACAGTATTAGCCTATTAAACTGACATGACTTTGTACTGGGCTGACCAGATGTTGTAAGTAGATAAAAACAGTGGCAAAAAGGCGCAAATTTGCACTGTATTCGTGTTGTATCTTCTATTGTATTATTTTGGCAGGGACAAGTAATCCATAAATTAGTGTAAAAAATGGCAGAGATTTGTGCAGCAACAGGCTGTAATAACAAGAAAAACGTATCTGTCTTTTCTTTCCCAAAGGATGCAGAGAGGTAAGTTCAGACAGGGATAGATTTTAATATTAGCTACTGTCACATTTCATGCCAGTTGCCTTTGCTTGAGGGAGGGGTTGATGGACAATGCCCACTTAGGAGACCAGAACTGTGTCCCATTTCATACCAATGGTGCTGCCTGTAATGCGGTATCTTCTGTATAGAGGATCTTTGGTAGTTTTCAAGTTTTGTGTTGCATCACAAGCAGAATGTCATGGTTTGATGGCTCTCAGTTTCTGCTTTATACTGACAACTGAGCTTTGTGTTGAGCAAGAGAAAGCAAGAATACTCCCTTACACCACAGTCAGTCCCATGGTTCATTTCAGGCCCTAATAGCCAACAGCTTATCACTGGTATTAAAGGACAGTGAAGTAATGACTGAATTTTGGCTTGAATTTTTACTGATTGATACCTTAAGCTATGTGAACCTGTGACCTCTGAAATAAAATATATTTTTTCTCATATATTAAGTCATCGCTGAACATTAAATTGTTTTGGTTTTTATTGTGCCAGTTTTTTTTATCCATCTCTTTTATTACTGCCTCCACCCCAATGCACCATCTCTGTTCTCAGGATAATTCAAAGACCTCACAGTTTTCATTGGAAGTACCTCCTTTCCAGGCAAACTGTTTCTTTAACGCGTTAGTGCTATCTTATTTTCATAAAAAAATTCAATGCCTTCAGCGGTAAAAACAAACGTCATTGACTGCCATTGTTTTAGGATGGTGGCAGGAATCCCAGGGACAGACATCTCAACACCTAAACAAATAAAACAGACACTATCTGCATGGATAGATAACACTTGAGGGAAGCAGAATAATGTGGGGGTTTTTTTGTAATTTGGGAGAACTGTTTAAAGTGTTCATTAAAAGAATAGATAGGCTATGTGAGTTACTTTAACCACTTTCTTTTTGTTCAATAGTTCAAAAGCCACCCCAACTGTCCAGTTTGACGCAAACATGCCATGCTGGCTCACATGAAAGGGATAGAATAACTGTTGGGTCAGCTAAATCTTAAGAGCCAGGATAGCAACAGAAATTGCAATTGTCAGTAAAACGGTCAGCACAGACATCTTGGAACATACTTACTGAATAACATCTTCATTTGGTAACATCATGCACTCATATTCATCACGTACATATTATCTGCCACAATTTACAGATAAATATTGTTTTTACTCCACTATATACACTTGTGAGTTTTAGTTACGAGTTGCTTTACAGATTAAGATTGTAAAATACAATGTTTTGTTGTAAACTACCCAACCGTATCTGAAAAGCCAGCAATAACAGTAAAATGCTACTTACACATTAATACACTGTACAGCACTCAGAGGGGTTGTATTTGTGCATTACTTTTACCTACTTTTACTTTTGATACTTCAAGTGCATTTAGTTGCATTTTAGTTTTTTATCTGATAGTCTTGTCCTTAAGGGTGGAAATATTGTGTAAAAAAAAAAAAAAACTGAACTTAAAAAATGATGTGTTACGGTGGTAACACAGTTTCATCATAGTAACTGACACCAAGTTCAATCAAGTCCAACAAGTCAGAGCAGCACCAACCACCATCACTGAACAAATTGTAAAGTTTAAACTCGAGTTTTACTGTAAAAACAGAAATATTCCTCTGACGTCATATTCATGCTTTCAAAATCCCACACACCCTATAACAGTCTTCTAACAGTACAACTTTCAACCATTTGCATTCTTCCACATAAATGGGACCAAACATACAGCAAACATCAGCATTTCTGTATCAAACTGAAAATAGATTCCTGTATTTTATCTTGCAGTTCATATGTTAGTTTGATTTGCTGCGACAACATGAGATCAGGATATTCCAAAAAATCCTGAGAAGCCAATGACCTATATATTATGAAGTGAGTCACCACATCTGTTTTCCCTGCTCTGGCTGTCGGACTTTCAACCCCCCCCCCCCCCTCCCCCCCAATTCCCCCTCTCCTCCGTGACAGTTACAACGTCCGACTGCTTCAACAGAATACAGTTCATGCCCTGTGATTTCACTCAGCTACATTGTCACAGACCCCTCACAAACTCACCCAGCGTCCTGGGAAAC